AAAGTTTATATACAAGAGCATTATACAAGAGAAGTATAAGCGGAGCCAGGCATGGTGGTACACCCTGTAATAATCCTAGCACTGGGGAGGCTGAGGCAGGAGGATTGCTGTGAAGTTTGAGACCGCAGTGGACCACACAGTTGAGCTCAAGGCCAGCATGAACTACAATACAGTGAGCCCTTGTCTAATAACAAAAAACCAAGAGAGAGGTCTAAAACAGCAGTAAAAATATTTCTTAATGGCAGCAATATAACTGCATATTACCTCTTGTTACCTATGTAAAAATTATGTGTGGAGTCAACTGTATGAAAAAAATAGCTATCTTGCATGGGGAAATTTTTGCTTTATTATCTAAAATTTCCAAAGTATTTATTACTTAATAGTAAAAAGAAGCACATATATTTCACTAAGAAAAGTCTAAAAATGTTTTCGAGAGTGAAGCATCAGGAACTTAGGTCCCTTTCACTTCCACTTTGTACTTACCACCTATTTTAAAAATTAAATTTAGTGGTATAACTTAAGATATGTATAATGATCATATTCATCATAGGCAATTTGTACCTGTACATATGTATTAGTCCCTATTTTCTCATCCCCCGCCCCTCATTTCAACCCCACCTCCCTACCTTATTTGCAAAGCTTTTTTTCCATTTTTTTCTTTTTCCTTCCAATTTCCCATTTTTCTTTCCTTTGAACAATTACTTTGTATTTCACAATATCTACTACACATTTTGTTGTTTACCATCTAAGTCTCTCTTTTATTTGATTTTAGGGAAGGGTTCACAAGGTGTTCAGGGTCTCACTACTGGTTCGGACTCAGTGATCTGCTTGTTTACAGCCTCCCAAGAGCTGGGATTACAAGGCACATGCCACCATGCCCAGTCTGTTTCTTGCAAGAGAGATAATGTGATTGATATTTACACATATGCATCTGATTTATTTCACTTTAAAAGAATGTTCTCAAGGTCCATCCATTTACTTATGTCTCATTTTTATCTTTCTTTATGGCTTAGTACTCCACTTAAAAAACAACTTTATATCCATTCCTTGGTGGATGGCCATTTGGGTTATATCCAAGATTTATCCATTTATTATAAACTGTGCTGCTATAAACACAGCTATGCACATATTATTGTGGTGTAGTAACCAATTTTAAAACATGGTTTACGTACATATTTAAAAGTATAAAAAGAAGTTTATATAAATTTATTGATTTAAGTATGGATTTATTACAGGGTCTACAGGCTTTCACTATACAGATCAGACTCATAGTGATCCTCCTGTTTTCAGCTTCCCAAGTGCTGGGATTACAGGCTCGCACCACCACGTCCAGTCTCAGTTGCTGTCTCTGCAAGCCCCGGGGGTAGGGCTGGCATGACACTCTGGGGATCAAACCCAGATCCCTGTGTCTGCCTAAGCAGGCACTCTAATCTGCTGAGTTATCTAGCTGGGTCTATGCCCATACCACCCTGAACACACCTGATCTCATCTGATCTTGGAAGCTAAGCAGGGTTGGGCCTGGTTAGTACTTTCATGGGAGTTATCTGGCTGGCCCAAGAAGTTTTGTCTGAGATTAAAATTTTATAGAAAGCTCTCCTTGGAAAATAAATTAGAGTCACAACATCTTTTCCCTTTAGAGACTTCTTACTACATAAGTGAACATAGTTTGCCTTTAATAAACATGGTATGGGGGCCAGAGAAAAAGCTCAGTAGAATAAGTGCTTGCCTGGCAAGCGTAAGGGCCTGAGTTCAATCCATGGTTCTACAAAAAACAACAAACACAAAACAAATAACAACAACAAAAAAACATGGTAGCAGCAAGGTGAGAATATCAAAGCAAAAGCAATACAATTAGGAGGATACCAATCTATTACTTGTGCAGAACATTAAGACTAGACTTCAGATTTCCTCAGGAGAAAAAAAAGTTTAATGAAAAGAGAAGTAAAAAAAAAATAATAAAAAAAAAAAAAGAGAAGTGATTTTAAACCTATTTCCTGGCTTACAAAGACCACAAATATTGTATCCCATTAATGTGAGGCAGCAACCTACTACCTGTTGCAGCTGTTGCTGGTTGACTTGAGGTTCCCGGCGAGAGCCACCTTCCTCTTGCGCTGTATCCTCTTCTCCACGAGGCCCTTCTTTCTCCTTGCTCAGTCTCTCTCTAATCACAGGTTCTCCTCGGAGGATATGGCAAAGAATGGCTAGCATTGATTCTGCCATTCGGCCACCATATACCTTCAAAGGTTTCCTGTTCCATAAGTTCTTGATGCAAGTAAAGGCTGCCTATAAGTCATTTAAGAAAAGTATGACAATCTTTTTGGCTAAATTCAAAGCCTTAGAAAAATGCAATAATAAGATTTATGGGAAAGCTCTTCCACACTTAATGACAAAAACAAAATCATTAGTCACCAATGCTACAACCTAGGGAAGCACTAAGAAGGGGAGCTAGAACTACCAATCTCAAGTTTATTCATGTTTACAGCATGGAAAAATTCTCCAAGGTCTCCATCACCATCTGTAAACAGCTCTAGTGGAATTACAATCAATGATCATTCAGTATCATTACTGGGCTGAGGAAGGTAGCTCAGTTAGGCCCTAGGTTCCATCTCTAGTGTCCCCTCCCCCAATATCACATCATTTGATTAAGGAGGAAAAAATGGAATAACTATCCAGTTAGCATGAGAAAATGGTCTTTAAATGGCAACTCACCTTCTGAGTTACCACAAGGAAGCGGAGGGCACTGAATTGTGGAAAATTTTGGACACCTCCAGGCAATTTGGCAGGCAGTGAATGTGGAGATTCAAGCACCGTGGTAGGATTCACCATCTTTTCCACAAGCATAAGCCAGGCATCTAAGAATTCTCCTGTGCCATCAGGTAAGTCTGAATGTTCTAATCCCTCTGACACAGGAACTTTGCCTCCCATGGAAAGAGCCCAGTTGAAGGTTCTAAAGTCAAACAAGAGAAAATATGGGGATAGAGTATTTTTGGTAAGGGGAGATTAATTTTTAAAAGGTTCCCAGTCTCTGTAGTGGCACTGCATGTACCCCCTCTGATTCTTCCACCAACGTTCATGGGCTTTCTTTTGAAACCTTTAAAAATAGCCCAAACCTATTTTAATTGAGCTAGAGAAACAGAAAAAGAGAAGTCTAAAAGAAAACGTGTATAAAACATTAGAAGCTAATTGGAAAAAAAGACCAGGGACCCTTACAAGTATTTATAGGGCAGTCTAAATATCACTTTCTAACAATGTGAAGACATATGGCTGCTTCTCAGAACATGAAACATGTTCCCAGAACATGATCCAACCTCCCTATATCCAACTGTCACAAGACAGATAATCTACAAAGCTGTGGGCTGGTAAGATACACAGCAAAAGAGACTAAACATCAAGACATCCTTCACTGTGGAGCACTGTTCCTTACTCAAAAAGTGCATTGTGGCCTCCAGAGCAGAGAAATTTCTGCAGCATGAGATGATAGGGATACTTCCTCTCATCAAACAGCATTGGAGAGGTGAAACCAACTGAACAGATGAAGAATGTCAGCCTAAAAGAGGGCAAAAACAAAAAAAGTAGGCTTTTTTGAGGCAGATACCAAAACAATGGCAAATTCACATAGAGACCAAGAGAATAGAATACATCCAATTGACAGAATGGAAAGGTAAATAACCTAGTATTAGGATTAAAATTTCAAAGGCATGAAAAGTGACATTTCTCATCTTCACAAGCTTATTGAAAACAAGGTCTGATCACAAATGCTTTCAAAATTTCATGTTTTATACTTCATACATATACAGTTTAGCAATGAACCTCCAAGTTCTCTTAATTCAGTGGCTTGTTGTCATTCAAAAACACTAGGAACAAGTCAAGTTCTATGACAATTTTCTAGTTCCTTCATCTCAAGCAGAATCTCACCTGAAGCGGGGAGTAGGTGTATATGGTGGGGGCTGCCAAGATAATCCCTTTGTGAGGAGTTTAGTGAGGGCTGAGGCTGTTGATCGAGCAGCAGGTGTTGGTGCTGTTGTGGTGCTGGCAGCATGGTGGCTCCTTCTTTGGCGAACAGGTGACCCCACACAAAGTTTAACAAGGAGTCCAAATAGTTCAGCAAGTGCCCGTCCTAACCGGGAGGAAGCTGGAACACAGAAGTCAGAATAAGGTTGGTCAGTAGTCTCATTACATTTTTATAACTAAAATTGCCTCAAACACAACACCTGCTAAACACTTGGATTTGTCTCCACATGATAATCTCAGAAGATTCCCAGTGGACAAAATGCCTTTCTTCATAGAAAACAGAATTACACTAATACTATTCCTTAAGTGGGCTCTTAAGGAATTATATAAAAACAAAAAATAAATACACAATTGAAATTATCTTTGTAGAAACAATACAGATAAAAGTATTTCTCAGTTAACAACCTACCCGCTTAATGACTATATGGACTCACAAACTGTCTTTTTTGGTATAATGTTCTGCACATCTTATAGAGCCTCATGCCACTTTTGTCAGTGTACCTCGTTCATACAGTACTGCAATTTTAGCTGACTGTACAGTACAGTATTATACATAGTCTTTGTGCTGTTATAAATTATAGTACTGCAAGGAAGAGTCACACAAATAAAACTTAAGTCATTAAGCTGGAGTTTCCTTTGTTTCTTTGTTCTGAATATTGCAATGTACAGAGTATACAATTCCTCCTTTAGCAACTAATGCAATTAGTGAAAGGACTGTGATTCGGTCATTAAATGAAGAATGTCTATGCAGCAACATGCACTAAGGAAATTGACTGGACTACCTCAATCACTTAGAATACCTACAGAGTACTTTAAAAATGGCAAAAATGATTAACTGTCTGGAACAGAAGAGATTACATTCAAATAGTATACACTGATCACAACATAAAATATATGGTCTCTTTAAGAAAAAGACACTGCTAGGAAATACAGAAATCTGTCACAAGGAATTAAGACTAAGGGCATTTTAAAATTTTAATTTTTGTGGGATGTTTTTCAATATAGTGCTGAACAAAAATGATCAAAAAGCAAAACCTTATATGTAAAAAGCAAATGTATAAAAAGGTAAAAAAAATTAAGACCAAATATTAATCACTTTTCCTTAAATACTTTTGTCTTTTTCATTTCTACAGGCATTGGGGCTGGTGGGTTAGCTCAGTTGTCTAAATCACCTTCTTAAACAAAATCAGTCAGGGGCAAGGGACTGCAGTTCGATCCCCAGCACCACATGCTACTCCAGACCTGCCCTTAAGGTAGCCTGAGCCAGTGAAAAACAAAAACAAACAGAATACTCATTTCTACAGGCATTATTTTACTTTTAAAATCATAAATAAAAGGGCTGGGAAGATAGCTCAATGGACAAAGCACCTGCATGGGCAAGCACAGGGACCAGGGTTCGATCCTCATTCCTGCATAGTGCTCTGGTCCCACCCCCAGGAAGCAAGCCCTAAACCAGGTGTGGTTTTGCACACCTATAATCCCAGTAACTGGGAGGCTGAGGCAGAAAGATTTTGGGGAGTTCAAATCCAGCCTGAACTATAAAATGCCCTGTCTTGAAAAAAAAAAAAACAGAAAAAGTTCACACTTTTTGGTGGCACACGCCTCTAAACCCAGCGCTGGAGAGGCTAAAAACAGGAGGATCATGAGTCTGAGCTATGTAGTGAGACCCTGTACCAAATACAGAAACAAAAAATAAATAAAAATGCTACCAAAATACTTCTGAAATAAACATTATTTTACGATGATCCAGAGACATGGTTAAGTTCCAAATCAAAGTCTCTCAAGGATGTATATGCCCCCTGTTAACAGTTTGGGTCAAAAATCATGCTCAAAACATAGCTCAAAGAAACAAAGCATAGGAAGAAAAAAAGACTTAGTGCTATCTTTTCCATATTCCAGAAAAAGTAGGGTTTATTAATTCTGTTCAAGCAATAGGCTGAATATACACACTATCTGCCTGAAGATTGGAGAAAAAAAAACCACTCTGTAAACCTAGTTAGTTCAAACTAACTGGACAGTTTACCCAAATACTAAGTTTATACTTTCTCACCTCTGTTTTCAGTCAAATAGACAGCAAAGTGGCTCAAAGGTAATTCAAGGACCAGAGGAAAATGAGGTCAAAGTAGTATAGCAAAGTACTTAACACATCAACACTATGGATGATCGGTTCCGCTAAAATTTTCGGGTAGTCCTGGTATAGTCATATTAATACAAATGGAGAATTAAATGACAAAATACAGAATTCTTGGGGATTGAACTTAGCAAATACCAATACCAAAGGTCATTTTCTCCTTGGTTTTGGGCACAGATCCCACATCCTATGAGCTATGTCCTTTTTCCTTAAAGTTTACAAATTGTCAACTGTTGAGAAATACATAAAACAGGGTTACCAATCATTTTTTTGAGACAAGGTCTTACTGTGTAGTACAGGCAGACCTTGAACTCACTATGTAGACCTGGCCTAGAATTCAATGAGATCCTCCTGCCTTAGTTTCTGTGCTGAGATTTCAGGTATTCGCCAGCATGCTCAGCCAGCAATACTACATTAGGTGCCAAGAGACAACAAATAGATCAGTACACACAAATTTAATAGTTTTGGTATCCTGTGAAAGTAGTTTCCACTCTATCCAAGTGACTTTAATGAACCACATAGGCTTTGTTACCTTGCAGCTTTCTTTAAAGGAAAGAGAAAGGAAAAGATGGGTGGAGTAATGAGACAAATAGGAGAGTTAAGTAACACAAAACAATGAAAAAAACCTGATTCTAGGAGAAGGGGGGGTCAGGTGTTATCCTTCACACAAATGAAAATGGAAGATTTGGGTATCTTGGTGAGACATTTAAGTGAAATGCTCTGGGTGGAAGCCATTTGTAATCATTAAAAAGTGAGGAAGAGGAAGGGAATGATAGAAGAAAAGGCAGATGTGGCTTTAACTCTCAACTGAGGAAGGTATTCTCTCATTTGTAACTCTGGCAGCAAGTACAGTCAAACCCGTAATAGGGGGCTGTGTCAATGATTTACATCTAACATGTTTCCCAAAAGACATGTCTGTAAGACATGACTGGATCATAGAGGTGTTATACTCTTCGGTGCATTCATTCATTGATGAATTCAGTAGCTGAATGTGCGGTTAGGGAGGTGGAACTTGGTAAAGGTGGGTTGCTAGGGGCATGACCTGGGAAGGTGGGATCTTGTCCTGGGCTTCTCCTTTTTCTTTCTGCCTTTGGGCTGCTATGTGCTGAGTGCCTTTTGCTCTACCACCTTGTTCCTACCTTGGAGCCAGCTGACTGAGGATTCAAGGAATAAGCCAAAATAAAATTGTCTTTAAATTGTGTATGTAATTTTGCCCTAGTCACAGGAAAGCAGGTTATACAGGAACTCAACAGAATACATGTAAAAGTGAGTTGTAAAACTTCTTTACACAAAGTGATATAGCCTCTCCAATTCAATCTGTGGGGTAGGACTAGTGAAGTGTTCAGAAAGCCAGGAAAGGGAACAGAAAAAAAAAAGGACTCGTTCACCTGACAACAAGGGCTTGATTTGCTTAATTCTGGCAGCCATGGCTGGAGTGATTTTAGATTTGGCTTTAGAGTCTGAAGCAGGTTCATCTGTCTCCATAGGAGCCAACGTGTCACCATCTAGACCAATCCCTTCCAATAATCCTTGGGTAGAAGCATCCATACTACCAGCTGTTCCATCCTGTTCTCCATCTGTGGATATAAGAGGGGAGCAATGAGACCATGTAGAGTCAGCACTTACCTGGTTCCTTAGTTGGAAGAGTCCCATGAGAATTATGTATGATTTCTGCTTATGGTACTTAGAAACGTTTACTGTGACATAACACATTCTCTAAAGTAGCATTGCATTGACAGAAATACAATGCAAGCCACGTACATAATTTTAACCTTTTTACTGGCCACATTAAAAAAATGGGAAGTTTATAGTAATACTTGAATCTAGTGAGTAAAACTAAATGTAAAAAAATGTAACTTCATGATAAAATCAAAATCTTATGTCTTTTCATAGATTTTTAAATAATCTTGTAGGAAACAATCTTATATAAAGCTACACACAAATCCTGCCCATTTTTCAAAGCAGCACATTAACACCCCAACAGGGAACAAATTTGTTTACATGGCACTTAATGTTAATTGAGAAGAGATGTATAAAATGTTTCATCTTTTTTTTTAAAAAAAAATGTTTTATCTAAGATAACTGCAAACATCCTCAGAGAAAAACTTTAGGCAGATACTCCCAAAGTGGTCTGTGTTATTCTCGTGGTAGATAAGTGGGTTTTTCTTTCCATTGTATCTCCTAGTTTTAATCACAATGTATGTATGTTTATAAAGGAAGTGAAAGAAGTTTAAATTTAATAAAAATTGATGAGGTATCACTGAGAGAAAACTTAAGGATTAAGGATTAGAGATATCAGGATCTAGCTTAATTTTTATTAAAAATCTGTAGAGAGAAGATTGCAACTTAGGAGACTTAATGACTAAGATTTTAGTTTCTTAGAGTTACCTGATCTTTTTCCGCCCTGGGTCGTACCTGCCTTCTCATCCTTTGGAACCAGTTTCTGCATATCTGCCTGGCCAAATTCACACCCAGATGGTAGGCTGCAACAACACAACCAATGAGCAAAACAAAGCACCTGATACTTCGCTTTTTATACTATACATGGTTTCTGACACACCTGACCAATATTATGCCTCTTAGAGCAGGTACATTATCCTGAATACAATAAAATAACTTCAATTGCTGAGGTAGTATTCACTATGCTTTTCCAAATTGTAGACCCCTACTAAGCTGACACACATGTCTAGAGTGTCATCTCGAAGATATAGATGATGATATAGTTAGTTAAGTCCCTGGGCTGTTAAATTCAGGCAAGATAAGGAAGCTATTACAGATGTTATATTTTTTATTGTTTTGACATAGGTTCTCTGTGTTGTAATTTAGGCTGGTCTTGAATTCACTGTGTAGTCAGGATGATCCTACTGCCTCAACTTACTAAGTACTAGGATTATAGATACATACCGACATGCCTGCTATACCACTGTACTTTTTGGGGTACCCTTCCATCTCTGATCAGAGTAAAGCAATCCTCCACATGTTTACTGAGTTCATATAGATACCAAGGGAGATGACTATTCACTAACCTGTTTGGAGTACACAGAGAGAGGAGGACAGTGCTTTCCCACACTAGAGAACAGTATAACTGGCTCAGCTTGCTCAGAACACTCAGACCCAACTGAGAACCCCACTGATTTACGGAGATGGAACGAATTTCACTCTGTAACCAAAGTAGAGAGAATTATAATTCTGAGATAGTCTCTGAAAATAAAAATTCAGAATCAATTTTCTGCTGTTTCAGAATGGTAAAGGTTTCTAATTTCCTTCATTGGTATTCTCAAAGAACCATCCACTTCATCAAAATGTCCACACTTAAGATTAGCTTTTCAAAGTGGTCTTTTACAGTAATTATAAGCTATCACTAATATCCATTCTTACAGCTTTTTGTAGTTAAAAGGCATCACAAGAAACATTTTCTGAATCAAAGGAATAGTTTTGTAGACTAGCTTGTAATTATATTTTTGGTTGAGGGAGCTTGTATTTTTTCATTCCAATTTCTTTACTTCACTACATATCTATGCCATTTAATTTTTGATTATTTCCTTTCATAAAACATGAGGCATAAAAACTAATCCCTGCCTTTTAAAATATAATTTAACTTGCTAAATAGTTTATGATTATGCTTTTGAGTTCTTATCTGACTGATCCATAGAATACATTCCTGGTTAGTAGCGTAACATAGGGCTTTTAAGTAGTTATAACAATAATCTGCAGATTTAACTATGTAATAAATAAAGGCAGTTAAATTTTGAGCACACAAAACATGCTTTTTGGAACCATAAAATACTATCAATTTGAGGGATAAGGCTTGACAAGACATTTTTATTCAAGTTAATTACTAGTGATTTTAAATGTAATGGAAGTGAAATGTCTTTTGCCGTCCCAATATTAGGCCTACATGTACTTGCCCAAAGATTACAAATAAGGCTCACTGAATAGTCAGTTGAGCTATGCCCACTAAAAAGAAGACTAAAATCTAAGTTGGCTAATACAGATGAGATAGTATAGATCAATTAATGCCTGATAATTGCCTATAATAACCTCTATTCAGTCCCAAGCAGGACTAGGTAATGACAAATTATATGGTTAACTCCTAATTAAAAAAAAATCCTTAAAGGAGAATAACTACAAAACAACATGAAACATAATCTTAAAATACCCACCCACTAAAGGGGTAGATGGACACTATAAAAAAATACCTCATATTAAACCTGTATGTTCTTTCAACTGCTAACCCACATAGATCGACTTCTGGAAACAATAAGCTACTAGATATATGCCTCAGGTATTAAACCGACATGTTTACTTCACACGTTACTCTTACCTGTCCAACTCTGCAAGTATGAACAAACATCATGATGTAAGCATGGGCAGCAGTGAGTGCGTGTAGCAGAGGTGTGGCTTGAGCTGAGAGGGTAGCATCAGCAACATTTCCAGCACATGCCAGTTCTCGCAACAACACTGAGCCCCCAGGGGATTCAATGGGGCGGTGTAAAGGCTCCAAGGAAGAAAGGATGGAGTCCAATTGAAGGAGACCCTCCTGAAGAACTTTAGGTTCATGTGACAGTGTCTGAAATAAGAATAATAATTACGTGTTAATATATAAAGATTCTCATATGTCTTTCTTTAAAAAGCCACAGTGGAAGTGACTCTTAAATGAAATTCTATTTTAGATGTGGCCATGTAAATGTCTAGGTAAATGATGACAACCAAGTATGAATCTACCTATGATGGATCTCAATACCTCTTTGTGGAGTATACACTAATTTCAAACTTGGTGAGTCAACCACACTATGCTGAGGAAGCTAACTGGAATACTGCTATATAAAGAGTTATGCTGCGAAGCTAATTCTAAACTTACTTCAATAAGGTGCTATGTTAGGCAGCGTCACAAAGCATGAAGAAAATCACTATTACAATGTTTTTTCTTTCTTAACTCAAGAAAGATGACTCCAACTGGCATCAGTTGACAATATAAATAACAACTTAGGATTGTATAGCTCATGTGATTTCTGTTTAAGACCGAAGAAAAATAAAACAATGATCAATCTCCAGGCATATTACGTGAGAAATTATGTGCTCTCCTAGGGCTTTAAATAAATCTATGTCTTGAGCCGGCCAAATAGCTCAGTGGATTAAAGAGCCTGGGGCTGGGGGTTCAATCCCTGGGCCTGCCATGCCAGCCCCACCCCTGAGGTGCGCTGAGATGATTTGGGAGGCTATAAACAGGAGAATCACTGAGTCCGATCTAGTATTGAGACCCTGAATACCCTGTAGACGTTTCCCTAAAAAATACAAATAAATCTATCGCTCCTTACACTAAGTAACTCAGAGGCAGAAGGTAAGAATTGTCTCTTCCCTTTCTCTCCTGAATAAAACATTTATAGAGTGAAAGATAATAAAACATTACCTGCATTAAGGTCTATAAAGAACTGGATTTCTGATTTTTAGGGAAAACGACCAATCACTGCATATTCTACCTGATGAGGGAGCTTCTTAGATTTTTAAACGATCAATACCAAAGTACAAAATAGCTAAGTTGTTGGGTTGTTTTTAGAGTGAGAACAGGAAGAGTCCCGCCAAAGACTGATGTAGAATATGAAGAGACTCTAAATAAGCAAGACAGTCTTGGGAAGAAAGGAGGAAAAACAAAAACCATAGAACACCATGTCAACCATTGTGGTTCATGCCTATAATTCTAGCATTGGAGGCTGAGGTAGGAGGATTACAAATGTCACTCTGTGCAGGATAGAAAGATCCTGGCTGAAAATAAAAAGTAGCTAGGAAGGCAGCTTAGTGGTGTCCTGGATTCAACTCCGAACACCAAATCTGAAAAAGCAACAAAACTTCAACCAACACTATTGATTAATATGTGGCTTTTTATCATGCTACATCGCGGAATTTGGTTATTATTTTTAAGAGTTGGACAATATCTTCTGCAAATAAGAATTTGACCTCTTCCTTTCCTGTATGTACAGTATCCCTTTTATTCTTCTCTTGCCTGATTCCTGTGGTTAATGCTAAATAATATATTGAACAGGAGTGGTGACAGTGGATATCCTTGCATTGGATTCTCTGTACTACAAACATGTACTACTTTTTTATTTGTATGAGACAGAGCCTTACGAAGTAACTCAGGCTAGCCTGGATTCACTACGTCACACAAGCTGGCCTGAAACTATGATCCTCCTGCCTCCTGAGTGTTGGGATTACAGGTATACATCACTATGCCTAGCAAAAACATGTACTACTAAAAAGAGTTGGCAAGGATGTGGAGATATCAGAATCCTGTATATTGCTGCTGTAAATGTAAAACACTATAGCTTCTGTGGGTGGGCAGTATGGCAGTCCTTCACAAAACTAAACACAGAATTACTAAGATATAGCTATCTCATTTCTAGGTACGTAAACACAAAAATTAGATCAGTTATTTGTTGCTAGTAGCATTATTCACCATACCCACAATGCAGAAGCAATGGAAATATCTATCAACTAATGAATAAAATACAGTCTAGTCATGTAATAAATCAGTCTTAAAAACAGAAGAAAACTGTGACACATGCTAAAAATTCAGTGAGCACAGAGCAAAATGTCAAATATTGCACGTATATGAGATACACAAAGTAGTGAAATTTAGAGAATGAAATTACAATGGCAGTTTCCAAGGTCTAGGGGGAAGGAGTATACTGCTGGTTTTGCAAAAAGGAAATTTTAGAAGTTGGCTACAAAACTGTGTGAACATCTTGTTATCAAAAATGACAGTGTTGCCGGGGAGATGGCTCAGTGGAATAAGTGCTTCCCTGGCAAGCGCAAGGGCATGAGTTCAATCCCCGGTTCCGCAATAAAAAATAAAAATAAAAATAAAAAATGACAGTGTTTCATTCGACAAAATAAGAGCAATTATGCTTAAAATTTATGACTATCATGGTTGAAAAATATATCATTAAATACATAACAGGATGTGTCAAATAGCACAAGTAAGAGAAGTAGAACACAGGAATGAAATTCAGCTACATGTGTTTCCAGGATATACTTTTTACTGTCTATAAATAACTTAAGTGATATTAGAATCACATAAAGAACAAAGAAAAAAATACTTATCTTTTCTGTGAGAAATGTTACAATACTATATACTGTCACAAAATTCACTTATGCACACATAACATGAAATTTAGTCATTATTTTTGGCTAAAAGGAGTCCACAGTATAAACATATACACAAAAGCAGTATAAAATCACTTTTTAAAAACAAAAGAAAGTACTTGGGCAGTTTCTTACCAATATGGACTTGCAGACACCTGCAACAGCCTGACAGGCAGCAGATGTGGGAAAGTCAATTGGCAGGTTGGGAAGACCCAAAATTGTAACCAAAGGCAGGAGTCCCTTCTGGTTCACAAATTCCTGGCAGTGGTCATCTGTTGTATTGTTGCTCAGAATAGACTCCACAAATTTCATCTAAATAACAAAAAAAAAATGCAAACAGAGATTGATACTTGGAAACAGAAGGCCAGCTAGGAGTAAGGACAAAGCTGGCCTACTAACAGTTTTGAAAATAGTATTTTCTACAATACAAAAAGCTTGAATAAATAGGGATTGAGGGATGAAACACACCCTAAAATATCCAGGAAATAAAGAATGATAACAATTTTTTCAAGCACAGCAGGTGTCAGGTAAGGGACTTGCCTAAGGCCAATCAGGGCTCATTTAGTGCTTATACGCATGCCCCACCTGGTGGCACAAAACCATGGATATTTTTCTCCAAATGTGCTTATAACAGAAATAGAACATAGTAATTAAGTGCAACAAGGCAAAGCACTCTTAAAGGAAGTAAAATGTGGGCAGTAAGTGTTGGAAATGACTAGCAGACTTTTGACACATGCTAAGCAGGCTTTTCTTTTGTAATATATAATTCTGGGACAACTCAAATTATTAATTTTTTTCTGTGAGACAGTCAGAAATTTCAAAGAAAAGGCCACAGGGGGAAAAAAAAAGGCCAGAATGATTAAAAAGCGAAAGAGAAGCTAAGGAAAAAATATACATTGAAGACATTCAGAAAACGTAATACATGACTGACATAACAAAGCCCCCTCCTTTTCCTGTTTAGACTGTTAATGGGGGAATAGTAACAATGAACGAAAAATTGAGAATAAAAAGGCAACTGGGTGATGGTAGTGAAGGAGGCAGTAGCTAATATTTGGCAAGCAGTCTAACAGAACAACATCAAAAGGTCTGCAGTCTTACATATCTTTCCTTTTCACATTTTAAGGCACCCAGCAGGGGAAAAAAATCTAGGCTCTTTGATAATTCTGCACATTTTCAAAAAAAAAAAAAAAACAACACATAACTTTATTCAGCTTGCCCTATGATGAATCTTACCACATTCAGGATGTAATCCATGAGTGGAATCGGAATACGTTCTTCTGTACCAACAACCCTATTAAAGAAAGAGTGAGTTACTCAGAAATTCACAGTAACAACTGCAGAAAACAAAGGGACATAGTGAAATTCTATGTATTTTTCATAATTTAACAGACTTTAGTATGTGAGCCTTTAGACAGATACCCCAGGAGGCAAAATAAACTGAAATAAATCCTAAAAGTAGTTTTAAATTCCTAACTGGGTTTGAGAGCAGACAGGGAAAAACAAAGTCTTCAAAAGTACAGTATATGACAAACATTATTCTATCTTAGGGAAACTACTGTTAGTGGAATTCATCAATAGGAAAATACTATTAAGTAAATTTAATTAAAAGACCTTAGGCATTTGCTTAAAGGACTAGGCTAGGCAAAACAAAAATACAAACAAAACAACAAAACAAACACAAAATCATATTTAGAATTATTCAAAGTATAAAATTGGGCTTTGCTCAAAACTCCCTACAAAAAAAATAATTCTAAACATTTAAATATGGTCAAAAATAAAGCCTATATGCAATGCCTCATTTCCTAACATATAATAAAAGCTTGACAGAATCTATTCAGCAATTTATCAGGGTTTTTTTTTTTTCCTTTTCAGATACTTTCATGCTACACAACAGTTAAGAAGGATGGAATAATGCTACAGTTGCATAATGAGAGCATTAAGAGCTCAGTGTCTCTAGGATTTTTGAAGAAAGCAAGAATAAAAAAAAATCCATAGAACACATTGAAATTGAACAAAATATACCTCAGAAAAACCCTAGGAAAGAACAAATGGGCCATTTATAAAATGAGAGGGTAGGGAACAGGAGTAGAGAGAAAGGAGGCAGGAGGGGAAGAGAATGCAAAAGGAAAGCTGGCAAGATGGTACTAGTTCTCATCTGAGTAAGGCAAAATGTGAATAAATATTTAACAGAAATGTGGTATCAAACTGTAGAATATGCAAAAAGAATGAAGAAACAACATAATAACTTCAGGGTAAGGAATGTAGGGTGTTACAGAGCTTGGGTGGGATACTGAAAACTCTCAATGAAAAACTTGGGGAAGAACTTTGCACAACATAAGACCCATAAGCCAGGACTGAAATGATTTCATTGGAGACCACAACATTGCTCCTCAGAACTCCCAAAGCATTTATTATTTATACCAATCACCCATTCCAACTTAGTCTCACTTGCCCAGTAGAATTCAGATATTCATCTCTATATAGCTAAAAACTTTTAAGATGTGGTTTCAGTGCACTGAGGTATGTGTCCATTTGCAGAAATATAATGACAAAAAGCATAGAGATATAATAATTACATACTCACTGCTAGATCAAACTTGGGGAGAATAAAAACCCACCTAACTTGTTTTTCACACAAATCAAAGAACAAATTTGTTCAGTAACTACTTTTCTCCCTCCTTCCTCTCATCTTTTGACTACCCAGCTCAAAAAGACATACATACAGGACTCTTAAAAAATGATTAACTCGAAAAGAAATCTACCTACTTGTTTGAAGACAAGTCATTATAACATTAAACTTATGGGAAATACTAAGTCACAGCATTTTTTTGGTCTTTTTTTTTTTTTTTTTGAGACTGGTCTTACTGTGGAGTTCTGGCTGGCCTTAAGCTCACTTTGTAGGCCAGGTTGTTCTTAAACTCGCAATGAACCTCCTGCCTCAGCCTCCTGAATGCTGGGACTATAGGTGGGCACCACCATGCCTGGTACCATAGCATTTTTAAAATAATATAACCCCTGATTTGTAATTATACTATGAAGCTATTGCAATAAAATCATCATGATACTAGCAAGTGGACAGCAGACGTGAGGATCAGGGCAACAGATTAGAAGATGAGGACACAAATACAAACATACTCGGCCATCTTATCTATGACAAAGAGGCCAACTATGTTCACTAGCTAGCCTCTTTAATAAACGGTGCTGGAAAAATGGGCTCTCTGTAAAACGACTAGATTCGTGTCTATTACCATGCACTAAACTAAAATCAAAATGGATCAAAGAGTTAAATTTTAAAAGAGTAAACACTATAAATCTGCTGTATGAGAAAGTAGGTAAAAATCTTGAAGACATAGGGCAAAATTCATGAAGAAAACCCATGTGGCACAGAAAATACTTTAAAGAATCAACCACTAAGATTTCATCTTATTAAAAACCTTTTGCACATCAAAAGTAAACACCAACAGAGTGAAAAGATAACCCCCAGAGAGGGGAAAAGAATTTTAGCAGGTTGTCCCTCAGATAAAGGACTTCTATCAAGAAAAATTGAAAATACTAGGCCCCCAAATTCAGACCCAATCCAAAATTGGGCATCTGAGATGAATATACATAAAGAATACACACGAAGAAATACAACTGGCAAATAAATATATGAAAAAATGAACATCATTGATCATTCGGGAGATAAAAATTAAAAATCTCACTCCAGAATGAATGTCTACTATCAAAAAATTAAGCAATAACAAATGCTGCAGGGGGTATAGGGAAAAAGGAATCCTTATCTACTGTTGGTGGGAGTGAAGACTGGTGTAACACAGTGGAAATCAGTGTGGAAATTCCTCAAAAACTAGGATTAAAGGTATCATTCAACCTAGCTGTTCCCCTTCTGTGTATCTCCCTGGAATTAAAAACATTGTATCACACAAATTTATGTTCACTGATGTTTATAGCAGTACAATTTGTAACAGATAAATCTACCTAAATATTCTCCTACACCCCAAGCCACACTTTAGCAGCACCTCAAATCCATCTGTACCCACATCCTAATACTTATCTACATACTAAAACAGTAATTTTGTAAATGCATTACTGTCTAAAGAGCTCACTGTTACTCTTTTAAAAATTATTTGAAGAAAACCCCCAAACAAGTAACTAGAACAAAGACAAAAACAAAGCACCTAGAATAAATAGTACAGAATTTCAAAATACAAAGAACATATGTTATATTACATATTGTTATCAAATTTATTGCTCAGACCAATGCTAGTCCTACAGATAACCCATTACGATTATGGGCTACTGGAATATATTGGAATATTTTGCTGAATTCAATATTTAAATGACAATGGAAAACACTTCCCTGTTAAAGCTAAACAAAAAAGGGGATTCAAATGAATGACCATTTTTGTATCTGTATATTCAAAATAGCTAGGATGTATAAACAGCTACTTTCTCTTTAATTCAATGAATAGAAAGATTTGTTCTAATAGTGTTTGTGGACAGGATATCATGTCTGCATCTTGTACTATGAATAACCACTAAGAAGACAACAATATGCAATATATTAGTTATTGAAACTGTCCTACTAATCAGTTTTGAAACTGTGTCATTGCTATTTGTT